ATCCGGTCAGAAGGCACATGCCACGTCCCCGCTGGCGAGAAATCATTTGAGAGTGAATCACAGTGATACATTCAATTAGACATTTTTGCTCTTTGTGAGTTAAAGTTATTTTGAAATTTATCATCCTTAGCAAACATTTGCGGATGATGGATGGACTTTTGCTTTAAGTTTTAAATAATAAATTTCATTTGAATATTTTTCAAATTTATTGAGATTTTATTTCAAGCATGATTTAATTTTCAAATTTGGGGGTATTTTAAATGTTTGAGATCCCCTCTGGTTGAGATTAGCTTTCAACATGGCCATCATCGGGGTGATTTTGACATTTGAAAATATTTGTATTTCATAAGTATTTGGAAATATTTGAAGGTATAGAATCCCCTCTGGTTGATATCAACATTCAACACAGCCATCATCGGGGATGATTTTGGGGTCATTTAAAAATATTTATATTTTGTAGAAATTTGAGGACATTTTTAATATTTGATCCCCTCCGGTTGACATAGACTTTCAACACGGCCATCCTTGGAGCGACTTTGGCATTTCAAAATATTTGTATTTTGTAGAAAATTGGAAATATTTGAAGGTATAGAATCCCCCCCGGTTGATATCAACATTCAACACGGCCATCACCGGGGATGATTTTGGGGTCATTTAAAAATATTTATATTTTGTAGAAATTTGAGGACATTTGGAATATTTGATCCCCTCCGGTTGACATAGACTTTCAACACGGTCATCCTTGGGGCGACTTTGGCATTTCGAAATATTTGTATTTTGTAGAAAATTGGAAATATTTGAAGGTATAGAATCCCCTCCGGTTGATATCAACATTCAACACGGCCATCATCGGGGATGATTTTAGAGTATATTAGTCTTTTAAAATTTAATATGCACGCTTCTCGAGGTGACTTGCTTCTCAAGGCGATAGCACTCTTCTCAGGGCAGTCGCTTTCTTCCCAAGACTGCTATATGCATTTTAGAGGTGTCAACACCCTTCTCGATGCATCATATTGACATTTAGAAAATTATTTTTGTATGCAGGAGGGGGCATTAAACGCTTCTGTCCGCTTGTAAAAGTGGTGCGGATCCGGTGACATTTGTGTAATATCTCAATTTTATATTTTAAAAGCAATCATGACAAAAATTCATGCCAAGGCATATTCTTGGACCATAAATAAATGGCATGAAAGTGATCAGATGCTTCAACACCTTGGATAAGCCTTCGGAGAACCAACTTGGATCAAATTGGCTGGCATTTTCTTCCCATAGTATTATTTTTTTTTTTTATGTTGAACTGATATAATGGGCACCTCAATATATATTCTTGAAGGGATTGTTAACTTTCCTAACTTAATATCTTCTTATGCAAATTCAAGGTTTGCCTTGTGCAACACTTCAAAAATATTAGAATATTCACTCTGAACCAGAAATGAACATTGCATAACATTCATATATTATTTGATTCCTTGTCATGTTGCCTTATACGAGCATCAGAGAAAGCCAATCATACTCTTATTGATTAACATTCTGTAACCTTCTTTTAATTATTCCATGAAACTTCATCTCAAATTTCTTCTTATAAACGTTGTACTCAACATTTTTTTTT